CTTTTCATTTAGCCATCTGAAATTGTCCCACTGCTCACTTCTTTTAATGCTTTTTCATTTTTTTCTGGTCTTTTTTCTCCCTGGTTTCTTTCAGATGGTTAATATCTCTATATATCTCACTAATCTTTTCTTCAGCAGGTTCAAAATATGCTATTAATCCAAGATAGTGTATGTTTTATATCAGACATTGCATATTTTATCTCTCGACATTTGATTTGGTTCTTTTTATGCCTTGTATGATTCCTCCTTATCATGTTTGTGCTTTACTTTCTTCAACATAGAGAGAGATCGTGTGTGTGTATAAGCCCTTTTTTTTTTTTTTTTTTTTTGGAAACGGAGTCTCGCTCTGTCACGGGTTCATGCCATTCTCCTGCCTCAGGCTCCCGACTAGCTTGGACTACAGGCACCCGCCAACATGCGTGGCTAATTTTTTGTACTTTTAGTAGCGACAGGGTTTCACCATGTTAGCCAGGATGGTCTCGATCTCCTGACCTCATGATCCACCCGCCTCGGCCTCTCAAAGTGCTGGAATTACAGGCGTGAGCCACTGCGCCTGGCCGTGTAAGATCTTTTAATGTCCTCATCTACAAATGATATCATCTATGTCATGTCTGGGTCCATTTATACTGATTGATTCTTTTTCTCTTCATGTGTTGTATGTTTCTGCTTTGTTTACATGTCTAAGGATTCTTTTATTTGATACCAGATATTTTGAGTTGCTGGGGACATCACTGGGTCCTAGATTTTCTGTATTCCTCTAAAATGTTTTATCGTTGTTTGGGGATGCATTCAAATTGGAAACAGTTCAGTCTTTTCTAGGCTTGCTTTTTAACTATGTTAGCGGGAACCAACGAGTGCCTACTCTGGCGCTACCACTGAGGCAATATGCTTCAGAGTGCTCAGCCAAATGCCTCATGGGTTGGGGGGCCTTTTCACTCTGGCTGGTGGAAATACAAACTGCATCTGGCCTGGGTGCTCTGCAGATTGCCCCTGCAGCTTCTTCCCAGTGGTCCTGTTCCTGGACGCAGGTGGATTTCTCACACACTTGCATTGATCAGTTACACCGGACAGATGTCTGGAGTTTTCTCGCTTTGCCACTTTCTTCTCTTTGGTAGTCTGCCCTGCTGACTCTAGCCCCCTTAGCCTCCCAGAATTCCCAATTCAGTCTCTCCAATTCAGCAAGAACCTGAGCTCTGTTTGAACATCCCTGCCCTGCACTGCAGCCTGGAAGCTCTCTCCCGGGAGTAGACTGGAATGATCCTCGGGTTCACTTTGCTTCGTTCCCTTTTCTTGGAGATCACTGTCATGCATTGCCTGTTGCCCAGGGTCTGAAAGCGATTGCTTCATCTGTTTTATCCAGCTTCGTAGTTGAGGCAGGAGGGTAAATCCAGTTCTTTAACTCTCTCATGACCAGAGCAGAAATCTAGCTTACCCTTTTCAGCTCCTTTAATACTAGTTCAACAATCACATCCCTAACCAAAGTTTGGGAATCCCTCTTCTTCCCGGGAGAATTGACTGTGACTTCATCTGCAGTTTTGCAGTTTTTCACTTTCTCTAGCATCATTATATAACATCTGTGTTCTATGCTGAGAGGTTTACAAGTTCCTTCTCAATAAATCATGAACTTCTTGAGAGCAGATTTTATGACACACCATTTTTGAAATCCCCAGTTGCATAGAACAAAGTGTGTGGTACATAAATGGTCCTTAATAAAGGTCAGTGGAATGAATAGATTGAGTGTCTCCAAGGGTATTTATAACATGTTCACGTTTATTAATATGTGATCGTTGGGCCTGTGTTTAACATTGCAGATAAATACGTCTGCCTATATTTGCTTTCACTCTGCTTTCTCTGCTGTAGGTTTCTGTATAATTTTACCAGTGGCAAGAATGAGGAAATAATGAGAATGTTCATTAAATTTGTAGATGATTCCAAAATCCAAAAGGAATCATAATCTCAAAATATAAGATTAGAGCTAATTACGTCCTTGACAAGTAGGATGATCACAAAGAAAGCAAGTAAAATTAAATGAAACTACAAGGTATTTAATTTTAAAAGGAAACTAAGCCACATGTCATGATAAAAAAGGCTGGATTCAAATAAGATTGTAGGAGCCATAGTGAATCACAAGTTAAAAATGAGTCGAAAATGAAATTTCCTGTTGTTATAAGATGCTGTGTAAGAATGGCAGAGTATAATTGTGTCTATTGTCCTTTTATAGTCATAACTGTAAAACTATTATAAAATTCTGTGGCATTTTTGAGGTCCACTTTTATTTTAAGAGCACCAGAAAATATAGGGTTTTAAGAAGATCGCTGTTAAAATGCTGCCAATGGAACCCGTGAGGAAATCTTATTCCCTTTTTCCCTTTTGCTTTTTTTGTTTTTCTGGAAGAACAAAGTGCATATACAGAAAACTATCATGTTTTAACAAAGAAAATATTCAAACCAGAAAGAACAACCACTGCCTTAAATTGAAACAAAAGCCTTGGTATTGGGAGTTCATAAATGAAAAACATGACAAATGGTTATTAACATTCACTAGATTTTCAATGGGCACTGTACTAACTGCTTTTAAGGCATGCAAAGAACACCTAGCATGCAAATAGCTCCTTTGACTTTTCAATGTCTCATGAATATATAATATCATTTAAACCTCATCGCTATTCTGTGAAATACTATTTGCATTGCACAGATGATAAAATTGAGTAGTCCCAGAGAAAGGAACTTTCTTTCAAGTCAAGTAGCTAATTAACGACATCGCCCAAACATAGAGCTCTCTACAATACTATGTAGAACAAATAGTAATCCAAATGCACGAATATAGGCCAAAGTGCTTTGAAAGCACCAAAGTGCTATGAAGTGGGAGGCAGTAAATATTATTGTCTGTAATCTGGAGATCTGCCCCCACCCCCGAAAAAGTGCTGCCATGAACTCCCATGAATCATTTCAATATTCAAGAAAAAAGGACTCATTAATTATTTTTCACATTGAGGCACTGGGAATATAGAAGACAAACAATTTAAGACCTTTTCTCTTGGTGGAGCTTTTATCTCATTAAGTCCTTGGGGGCTGGCTGGACGTGGTGATTCATCCCTGTAATCCCAGAACTTTGGGAGGCCTAAGAAGGAGGATCACTTGAGGCCAGGAGTTTGAGATAAGCCTGGGCAACATAGCAAGACTCCTATCTCTAAAAAAAAAAAAGAAAAAGAAAAAAAAAACTAAAAAATAGGAATTGGTCAGGCATGGTGAGGACATGCCTGTAGTCCCAGCTACTCAGGAGCTGAAGTGGGAGGATGGCTGGAGCCCAGGAGTTTGAGGTTGCAGTGAGCTGTGATTGCACCACTGCACGCCAGCCTGGGTGACAGAGTGAGATCCTGTCTCAAAAAACAAAACAAAAAAAATCCTGAGGGGCTAAAGTGGACATTAGCATGATAAGCTGATGACACTTCCAACTACTTCCTCATTCTGCCAGAGTTACTAATTTGTCCTACTGTTCCACCTTCATTAATGTGCTTATCTTATGTTGATTTGTATATCTCTTTAAGAATTCAAAGTTGACAGGGTCCTTGGAAGTGGATGTTGAAAATTTGGCCAAAAGGGGGAATATTGACGCTAGTTGGAAGAATTATCCTTGGCATGAGGAAGGATCTTATCTTCCATTAGAACAGAAGGAAAAGAGAAAAGAATTAGCATAGAAGGTGCTAGTGAGTGCGTATTGAGCAAATTCCCATCCGAATTGTTCTGTGTCTCAGTGAATTCTATGGCGCACATCAGCTGCCCTGACTGTGTGTATTGGGCATGAGACTTGGGTATGGGCAAGGAGGTGAAGTGGAATAGGGGTTTGAGGAAACCCAAAGAGGTTTTAAATAGCTGCTGTACAAAATCTCACTTCTCTGAATCACTTTATCTCCTTTCTCAGTGTGCATACAGATGCCTGCTGCAGTTGTCCCTAACAGAAAACAATTATGTTTACAGGCAAATCTCCAACTATGGGAAAATGAGTTGATAAATTCAGCTACATTAACTCAATAAATCATTTTGGCAAGAAAAGGCTATTCTCTAGCCATGTCTCATGAGATTTATCTCTGGACTTGACAAATTCTGAACAGGTGAAGTCATCTTCCACATAGTTACTATTCAAGAGAGTACGGTTCAGTGAGCCAGAAATTGCCTTTTGTTGGTGAACAAGTGTGATCCTGTGAAGGAATTTAGTCATGCAGTTGACTGGCCTCCACTGAGGGGAAATATTATGATTCTAAAAAGGCTTTGCCTTTTTCCGTCATCTACATTTCAGAATATTCCAGAAAAGAAAATTCCTTGGGCATCTGAAATCCCAGACTTACAACAGTGTGAAAATGAAAGAAGCCTCAGGGATTCTTAGTATTTCCTCATTTTAGAGATGAGGTGATGGGAACAGTCGCAGGGTGTCTTGACCAGGTTGTTCGAGATGGCACTAGGGGTGCCACAGTTGGGCCACCCAGTCTTTTTGCAGTAAAGGTTGATCTTGCATGACAGAGGCAGCAAAATACTTTGCAGGTCTCTTCGTTCAAGCAGCCTAGGGATCTATGTGTGTCCTCCCTGATGCTCCACTGTCTCATAGCAAACGCTGGGGCCCTTGGCCATTGGTCCTGGTGCCTTGCCTGCTACTTACGCACTCACCACTAGGGAAGTAAGTCCTGTTCAGGGTCAGGCCCGGTTAATGCTTTATTATTTTCTAGTTATGACATTTGTGATGCTAATTGTTTATAGCAACAGACAAGAAACCTATGCAGACTTTAGTTTGACAGTCTGTGACATTTGACAGTGATCAACTGAACACACATTTTTAGGACAAAAAACCAAGTGGTTGAACTTCTTGATGTTGCTGGTGTCAGATTGGTATTAAAAACCGAAACCTACTTCTTTCCTTACACACAACAAATGGCTTTGTAGGGAGAGAGCTCACTTCTTCACTTCTTTCTTTTTTTTTTTTTTTTTTTTTATAAATTAACCCATTTATTATAGGCCAGTGATGTCGGCCACTGTCTTCATGCAGGAACCACAGTGCCAGATCCCCACAGCTCGTCTCTTCATCTTGGTTTTGCCACAGAAAGAGCAAGTGTACTTGGCGTGCTGGCTGATTTCAATTTTCTTCACCATTTTCCGCAGGGAGGCCCCACAGTAGGTCCCGTATTTACCGACGATCCCGACTTTCTTGGTACGTTTGGCCGTGTCGTCGCGAACTAGGTCCGAGCCCAGAGAGAACTTCTTTCTTTTAACTGCTGTATTTGATGTAAGAGTGTATGGATATGTTAAAAAGGGCCTCAAGCGGTTAGTATATTCAACATGCATTCATATGTTCAAACTGGGGGAAAAAATCAGATTGGCAATGAACTAAGTTTAATAAAATGAATGGGTATTTTCTTTTTTATGGTTTTTTTTTTTTCTTTGAGATGGAGTTTCGCTCTTGTCGCCCAGGCTGGAGTGCAATGGTGCAATCTTGGCTAACTGCAACCTCTGCCTTCTGGGCGCAAGCAATTCTTCTGTCTCAGTCTCCCAAGTAGCTGGGATTACAGGCGCCCATCACCACACCCAGCTAATTTTTGTATCTTTAGTAGAGACAGGCTTTCACCATGTTGGCCAGGCTGGTCCTGAACTCCTGACCTCAGGTGATCCACCCACCTTGACCTCTCAAAGTGTTGGGATTACAGGTGTGAGACACGGCGTCCAGCCATGCATGAGTATTTTCTTAACAAAAATAAATGCCAGATCTGAGAGAGATAAGAAAGAAGAAATGGCATGTCTAAATAACTGAAGCCCTGAGGACTTATTATCAAATGTAGGATTACCATATATGGATATGATGCCATATGGGGAGAATAAAATGGAGAGAAAGCAAGAAGAAAAGCAGTCCATGCATCACAGTGCTTTGTCACCAACACTTGTTGGGATCTAAGATGGATAACTAGAGTCTCTTAAGCTGAATAAATATATTTATAGTAAATAAATACAGGGAGAGGATCAAGAAAAACAACTAATAGGTATTAGGCTTAATACCTGCATGATGAAATAATTTATACAACAAAGCCCAATGACACAAGTTAACCTATGTACCAAACCTGCACTTGTATCCCTGAACTTAAAAGGCCCCAAAAAAGGAATAAATTAAATGTGCTCTGGCCATTCAAAGCATTTGTGGATATAAAATACAAATGAAGTTCACAAGATATCTATCTATAGATAGATATAAATATAGAGAGATATAGATGATAGATATAGATATGGACATGTATATAGATATGGATATATAGATAGATAGATATAGATACAATTTTTTTTGAGACAGGGTCTTGTTCTGTCACCTAGGCTGGAGTGCAGTGGTGCGATCTGGGCTCACTGCAACCTCCGTCTCCCGAGTTCTAGTGATTCTCCTGTCTCAGTCTCCTGAATAGCTGGGATTACAGGCACATGCCATCATGCCTGGCTAATTTTTGTATTTTTAGTAGAGACAGGGTTTCGCCATTTTGGCCAGGCTGGTCTCAAATTCCTGACCTCAGTCGATCCACCCACCTCAGCCTCCCAAAGTGCTTGGACTACAGGTATGAACCACCATGCTCGGTCTCACAGGATATATATTAAATAATAGAGCATAATAGAAAATATGGGCAGAAAGGATATTTGCTTGCTAATTATATTTTTTCTCGATTAGTTTCACCTCTTCCCCAATTGACTTTTGTATTTTTTTTTTTCTGATAAAAGTTCAGAAAATCTTTGTCACATGGAACATGAAAACCAGGCTGGCGTGATTTTTTTAAGTAAATGGATATTGTTTATACATGCCTAAGATAAATTAAATTGCTAATTAAATGTTAGGGTATTAATGACGTAAAATGTGTGGTCCTTAGGAATCTAAACTTTCAGGCACGAGAATTTCCAATTCTGAATCCTCCAAGCTTTTGCTCCGGAGGAAAGGAGAGGATGCAACTCAAAGACAAACATCTTGGATTTTCATAAAACATCTTCCTATTCCTCTGTACGTACAGATTTCCTATAATAAAAACAGCTTCTTTAAAGAGGAAGCAAAAGGGGATTTGGGGGGTTATTAGATTCTCCTTTGATTGTAGCACACATTAATTATACTAACTTTCTAGAATCAATGTGGTTAACAAATCAATTCGGTTGGTCAATTAAAATCAATGACTATAATTATGTAATAAGTGAAGTATATGTACAGCATGAATGATGATCCTAATAGAAATTGCTGTAGTTTACTTAGTATTTATTATGTGCCAGGTGATTTAGGTATATTATTTTATTTAATCTTCACAATGATCATACAATATACAGATTTTCTTGCAGAAGATCACATAGTGTGTAATGGATGGAATCAGATGGATCTACCTGGTTTTCCAAGCTAAATCCTTTTCCATTACACCTGAGTTTCCTCAGGTGTTTTCTGCAGTGATGTGCGTGTGAATCACCTGGGTATCTTGTTTAAGAGCAGACCCTGGTTCATGTGGGCTGGAGTGAGACGTGAGAGCCTGCATTTATAACAAGCCCCGGGTAATTTCAACGCTACTGGTCCATAGGCCACAGTTTGAATAGCAACATTCTAAAGAACAATAATTCCAGAGGATGTCAATAGACAGGATTAAAACAATAACAACACCACAATGCCCCTATTCAACATAATAGGAAAGACTGAGCAAAACAGACTTGAACTGATCCCTTCGTTGCAAGTCATCTCAGAGGCTTTAATTTGCTAATATGCATTGTGATTTTCCAAAAAGAGAATAGAGTATGCCCAATTTTTCAGATCTATTTGCTAATGTAAATTCCCCTAAAGCATATCTCAGGATTAACATTTACTTCAGAAGCATTGAACTCCATCAAGCTAACTATTTAAAGATCAGATTTTTGGAGGGAAAACACTGAAATGAAGGCAGTAGTCAGGATAGAGTAAAATTACATAGCTGTTGATGTACCTAATATGTGCCAGGTTGATACTGGAGTTGGGAAGGGATGGATGAATATGTGATACAAAAATGAATAATGCATCACTTGTGCCTTCCAGAAAGCTCAACCTGGTGAAAATAAACACGTAAAAATTAATTGCAGGGCAAAATTAAATAAATGCTAAATGCAGGTTGAAATAAACATGCTGTAAAGAATAAAGGAATTGTGAATTCTAAACATTTGGCAGTGATTTGCGATTCTCCTTTTTTCCTTCATCTGAGACTTCCTTTATTACAATCCTTAGACACTGTGGTGATTGCTCACGGAGAGATGTAGAGGGCTGAGAATGTTTTCCAGATGTAACCTTTTCCCATATCAGAAGTCCAGAAGTCTCTTCTTTGCCTTACTTCTCCCTAAGGGCCAGAGTAAAATGACAACAGCTTTTTTTTTTTTTTTTTTTTTCAGATGGAGTCACTGTTACCCAGGCTGGAGTGCAGTGGCATGATCTCAGCTCACTGCAACCTCCACCTCCTGGGTTCCGCAATTCTCCTGCCCAGCCTCCTGAGTAGCTGGGATGACAGGCACGTGCCACCATGCCCAGCTAATTTTTGTATTTTTAGTAAAGACAGATTTTCACCATGTTGCCCAGGCTGGTCTCCAACACCTGACCTCAAGCGATCCACCAACCTTGGCCTCCCCAATTGCTGGGTTTATAGGCGTGAGCCACCACACCTGACCTAAGCGACTTTTTTTTTTCTTCTGAATATGTTCTTCATGATTTTGCACATCTATGCTAAGAATTTCTTCTTTCATTCAGTTGTTCTATAGGGAAAGTGGCAGGGATATTGACACTTGCCTTTCCCTCCCAGGACGGGGAGAACAGGTAGGCAATGGATAAGTAGGGAAGGACTGCTGTGCCTGCCACCGGCCTGGTGAGGCTTTGATCTGTCCTACTCTGCATTTCCCTGGATCTGATCTCAAAGGTCTCTGGCAAAGGCATTGATGTTATTGTTATGTCAACTCTGTAAGACTTGGCCTCCGAGCTGTCTAAGAACTTTAGTATCAAAGTAGCAGGATTTCATAGACAGAGAGCCCCAAGATGTTCTTTCCTTTAAAATGTGAATTTTGGTAATGAGATGACTGACCTATTCAGCATGTAGAACAGTTGTATAAGCACTGTGTTCCGAAAGGAGTCGTGACATTTTGCCATCGACTTTGTTACTGTAGCTCTTCTCCTTCCAGATCACTCAGTAAATGCATCCATTTTTTTCCTGTAGGTTTAGAATTATTTGTGTGGTGCCTGTAATCCCAGCACTTTGGGAGATCAAGGCGGGTAGATCACCTGAGGTCAGGAGTTCAGGACCAGCCTGACCAACATAGCGAAACCCTGTCTCTACTGAAAATACAAAAATTAGCCGGGCGTAGTGGCGGGTGCCTGCAGTCCCAGCTATTTGGGAGGCTGAGGCATGAGGATTGCTTGAGCCCAGGAGGCGGAGGTTGCAGTGGGCAGAGATCACGCCACTGCACTCCAGCCTGGGAAACAGAGCGAGACTCAGTCTCAAAAAAAAAAAAAGTTATTTGTGTGGGGCTCACCTATTTCTTTTAGGGCCATCCATCACCTTCTTTTTAGCTAAACTCTGTTACCGGGGCACCTCACACTTAAAAATCACAAAAACTAACCAAAAAAGCCAACGTAATGATCTTATCTCATTTTCAAGTACTTCTAGATTCTGGAGCATTCTGGTTTCATACTCACAAAAGCTCTATATCAAAATATGTTGAACACTGTCTAAGGAAAATTCCACAGTGCTTGGAGAGTACAGCCGACCTATGGTATTTTCAGATTTATTAGCTTTCATTTCAACCATGTGTTGTTGCTCCTAAAATTCACGGGACGTAGGTTTGTGGAGGCCTAGATCTGAATGGGCTCCAAGATCAGTGGGTGGGCCTAGACAGTGTATGTGTTTGCAGATTCATTTGGCTTTGTGGCCCTTTCCTCATCTCAGTTTAGTCAGTAATGCCTGTAGTATGGTAAATTTATTTTTTTGCAACAACAACAAAAAAAAATGGTCAAGTGAAAGACATAATCTTAGTGAAATGTGAAAATTGGTTTAACTTGTGATTTGAGGATATAGACAGGAAATCTGTACCATCCTATGAAGATGTGCTTCAGAAGAAGGCTAAGAGCCCGGATAAAAATTTCAAAAATCACGATGTTGAGGATCCAAGGATCTTTGCCTTAGGCACGTAGTCTGCTGTTGTGGGGAATGAAGGAAAGGACCTCATGGAAGAGGATTGCTTGAATGACCAGGAAAGGTTCACCATGCCCAGGAAAGTGGAGGGACCAGAGTGATGACAGCTACAGAGGGAACTATTAGACTTAAAATAATGATCATTGGTGATACAAGGAA